ATATCATATCACATCATATCATTAACATGATTCCCCTCTGATAGCGAGATTCGTGACACTGCTGCTGCGCAGTAGGTTTAACCCACAGAAATAATATACTAGGTAGACTCTATAGGTGTCTCTATATATTTCGATGGTTTAACCTTTAACGTTTACTGTCTTTCGAAGAATCCGTAGCGACCAGAATCCCAACATCACTACTTTACATGTTATCGCGAACACATAACTATATACAATGAGGAGTGAATAAATGTGTTGATTTCACACAATGTTTTGATTCACTTCCAATACATTGTATCAAGAGTACATAATAGAGATATTCTATCTATAATAGAGACTATAGACTATAATAAACTATAATAGAGAATATCTATATGTACTCTTGAGTGTATGTATACAGTGTATGTGTGTGTGTGCGCGCGTGCGTGCGTGCTGCGTGCGTGCGTATGTATAACATATATATATATATATATAATTATATATATTTATTTTGTATCTAGACAATGTATTATATAATTCTGTTCGTGATACTACCAATAATAAGGAAGACCAATAATAAGACCGTATGGAAATAATATAATTATACAACCCCGAGATTCGAATGGAGGATCACCACATCTCTTGTGCTTCAATTTTGATATCTGCTACTACAGCTATATAACATATGTACGTGAGAATCGACTGATATATGAATTCGCATTCCAAGTTAAACAGGTGTTATCCATCACAGCACATAAGAAACTAGACAGAGTGCACTCACGAAGTGCATACCTCCGCCGACAACATACGCCATATGCCATACAACTCACGAACACACGAATAACCCACGATATACGCCAGCGTACTGACATGTACACGCTCCGATGTAACATGTACGTGTTACGAGCTGGCTCGCTGGGCTCGCTGGCTTGCTGACTCGCTGGGTGATATCGAGCGACCGCCAACGACATACGCCATACGCCTCGACGCGCTAATATCGATCGCGCGAACACACGAACACACGAGAGCGAAAACATAACCTCCTCCAACTCTGTTGGGCGGAGGTAATGAGACACCGTGACAGATCTAGCTTCGTGGTCAAGGCTATGAAAACATATTTGTCAAACTTTTATGGACATACCATCACATACGACGAGTACATATCCACATTCATGTGTATACATAAATATTTGTATACAACACCCTGTCATCACACACCTTTGTAAGATAATATCAGGACTCAGGAGTGTAATATAGAGATATTATTATAGAGATATCTCTATATTATACACTCCTGATAATATGTATTAGGATGATGTTTTGAATTTCGATTTAGTCAGAATTCTGCAAACCGTGATTCTTTTATCATACACATCGCTGAGGAAATAAGATCACATAAATTTTCACATTTCATCTACTGGTGATAATTTAATTATCCAACAGCGCCATCTAATGTGGGAACTAGTGTGTAAACTGCACTAGTTGGTGGCTGCTGCCTATTAGACTCATTACAAGCCTGCAATAGTCAAGGATTAATAAGTAATGGTTCTTCTAAATAACTCATACACAATAGGCATCGCACACAAATACATGTATATATGTATACTATACAATAGCTGCTTTGGAAACCACATATTACATATTATATATTATTTATAGCCATATATATATATTATACATTTACGGTTAAACAATCAAAAAACATAGAACTCTTTAAAATGGGGTAAGTAATTCATTCACACGACTAGCCAATCGCGAAGCTGCATCTGGCGACACGTCGTGCCGTGATGCTCTCTTGTTCACCAAGATGATTCGCGACGTTCTCGTGTTCGCCGAGACGACGCGCGGCATTGTGCCTACCATAATACGACGTCGGACGTTCACTTGTTCACCGAGACGCCAACGCCTCATACTCCTCTCTGCGACGTCACTCGCTGAGCGCGTACTCCTGGCTCGCCAGGTGGCGCTGATGCTTCGTCGTCGGCACCAGGCCGCGCCCCGCCATGTAGAACTCTTCGCAGGCGTACGGCAGCGAGGCATGCGTCAGACGCAGCGCGAAGCACTCATCCGTGAAGCGCCACCTGGTGTCTACCTGCAGCGCGTCGTCGACGAAATGCCGCAGCGGGGCGACGTGCGACGACAGCGCCGTCCAATCGGTGAGGAAGTCCTCGACGACGTGGTGCAGGAGGCGGGGCCTCGGCAGCAGCCAGCCAATCGGCTTGCTCGCCATGTCCGCGGCTGTGTGCGGGGATGAGAGAGAGAGAAGACGTGTCAAGCGCCGTATTGCGGAAGGCGAGCGAGGACTTGGAGGAAGGAAGGGATGGCGAGTGGAGGCGGGAGTGGGGGAAAGGAAGAGCAAGAGGCGTTAGGGAAGGGCGGGATGGGGAGGCGTAGACGGGAGGGTGAGGGGGAGGGAGGAGGGGAGGGGATGGTGGGAATGAGGAGGAGGGGGATAGCAGATGACGAGGCGATGTACAACAGGGGTGTCAGCTGCAGCGGATATGCGCACGGAAGTATTACACAGAGCTGCTCTGTGAATGATACTACGTAACGTATACATGGCGACAACCCGAGTCGCGAACATGTTGACACGTACGACCATCCGAACCAATGAACAATGCTCCGTTATTTATTTTAACAGCCAGTTATTATTTAGTTTTTTTTTTTTTCTATTCTCTTTATTTTTTCTATTTTTCTTTGTCTTTTTTCGTAGATAGCTTTAATAGAGTAATTGGAGTTATTTTTTCTTTGTTTGTTTTTTTGTTTTTGTTTTTTGTAGGCTTTTTTTATTGTTTTTTTTGTTTTTTTTGTTCTTTTTGTCGGGTTGTTATAGTCTTTGTTTTTTTTGTCTTGTGATTGTCGTTTGTTGTGTTTTAGACTAAATTCTCTATTTTATTATTTATTTAATTAGTTACTATATATATAATTATTTGTTTTAATTATTAGTTATTTATTTTAAATTCGTTCTACCATTAAACGTGTATTCGCGAACCGAGACACCCTCGTGTCAGTGCAACGGCCTTCCCGAAGAGAAAATCTGAGCTCGTGTTTCGAAACACGACCGCCTTTGAAATTAGCGCAAATTGCCTAAGGCCGTAAATGAGGGTAAGACAGTAAGATGGCGTTAGATTGGACTCACCGGTCGGTAGTGCGTCATAGTAGTACAGCACCGGGTGGAGGAAGTTAGAGAGGTGCGCGTGGCTGTAGCTTCCAGTAGCTCGCTGACTGTGGAACGGGTCCTTCCCCTCTCCTGCAAAAAAACACGAACATAAGGCATCTGTGGTGTTCACAAATAGATTAACCAGATTCAGATACGTTTCAGCATCTTTATTGGCAATGTCCAACATGGAAACTTGCTGCCACGGAAACTCTCTGTTTCATTACTTTCCTTTCTCGATAGGTAGCCAGCACACAACATACCAGTATCCTCAACACATTCCCTCTCCTGCAACAAACACGAACGAGGCGTCACACTAGGAGAGAGATGTGGTTCACCTATGTTTCCTATGTGGTTCACCTATGTTTCCTATGTGGTTCATCTATGTTTCCTATGTGCGCTTCACCTATGTTTCCTATTGCGGTCTTCATCTAGGTTCCTTGTGGTTCATTCTATGGTTTCCTATGCTGGTTCACCTGCATTTCCTATGTGATTCATCTCATGTTTCCTAGTGCGCTTCATCTTATGTTTATATGTGGTTCATCTGTTTCCTTATGTGTTCATCTATGTTTCCTATGTGGTTCATTCTATGTTTCCTATGTGGTTCACCTATTTTTCTTACATGTGGTTTTCTTACCCGAGAAGTTTTTGCCGTACTCGAGGACGATGACGATCACCGGACCAGCCTCTATCCCGCTTATCGCAGCAAACTCCGGCAGAAGGTTGATCGGAAACGCCTCCACGTAATCTGCCCTCCGCTTGTTGCTGAAGGACACAAAGCATGCAGCGTTAATTCCCCACCTGTTAGTTAATCTCTTTACCCAGCTGAGGCTCTGTTATGTTCTGTGGTACAGTTTATCTGTCAGTTATTAGTGATGAGGATCAGTGGGGTTGGTTGCCGAAACGTCGCGTTTTGTTGATCGAGAAAGTGACAGGGATTTGATGATAAGTGGTCACATTTGGTTTTTAATTAGTGGACCCCCAAGGCTAGCAGACGAGACTGCAAACCCAAAACATCATATTGATCTGCCAAGTAACATGGTGTTAGAGACCAACCACAAAACCATGTATTTTACACCTATTTTTCTCGAAAAGCAATGGGTTTTGGGACCGAACTAATTCCGCTTCGGTGCGCGATAGCATTTGTAGTTTCTTCAAGTTTTGTTGTTGTTCAGAATTACGATTCGGAAATAATCTGGGTGCAGAATTCTGCTTTAGCGGTAACGACGTCAGTAGTAGCAGTAACGCTGTAGCATTTCTCCTCTTTCTCTTATCAACACTCTACCACTCTAGCATTTCCACTTAGCGCTTCTACATTTCCCCTCTTCCTGGCTACACATCAACCACCTTAGCATTTCCAATCGTCTCATAGTACGTAATTATACAGAAATAATCTGGGTGCAGAATTCCGCTTCAGCAGTAACGACGTTGGCAGTAGCAGTAACACTGTAGCATCCACACTTCGCTTCTACATTCCCCTCTTCCTTACTACAAGTCTACCATGCACTCTGCTATAAGTTACCACGCAACTCTTTACACATCTACCATGCACTCTCTACACATACTAACCACGGCACCTCTACACATCTAACCATGCACTCTCTACAAGTCTACCACGCACTCTCTACAAGTCTACCATGCACTCTCTACAAGTCTACCACGCACTCTCTACAAGTCTACCATGCACTCTCTACACATCTAACCACGCACTTCTCTACACATCTAAACCACGCACTCTCCTACACATCATAACACGCACTCTCTACACATCTACACGCACTCTCTACACATCTAACCACGCACTCTCTACACATCTAACCACGCACTCTCTACACATCTAACCACGCACTCTCTACCACGCACTCTCTACACATCTAACCACGCACTCTCTACCACGCACTCTCTACACATCTAACCACGCACTCTCTACACATCTAACCACGCACTCTCTACACATCTAACCACGCACTCTCTACACATTAACCACGCACATCTCTTACCATCTAACACGCCACTTCTCTACACATCTAAACCACGCACTCTCTATACAGTTAACCATGCACTCTCTAACATCTAACCACGCACTCTCTACACATCTAACACGCACTCTCTACCATCTAACACGCACGTCTCGACACATCTAACACGCACTCTCTACCACGCACTCTCTACACAATCAACCACGCCACTCATCTACCACGCCACTCTCTACACATCTAACCACGCACTCTCTACACATCTAACCACGCACTCTCTACACATCTAACACGCACTCTTCTACACATCTAACACGCACTCTCTACACATACTAGACACGCACTCTCTACACATTCTAACCACGCACTCTCTACACATCTAACCACGCACTCTCTACACAATCTAACCACGCACTCTCTACACATCTACCACGCGACTCTCTACACATGCTAACCATTGCACCCTCTAACAATCATCTACCCATGCACTCTCTACACATCTAACCACGCAACTCTTCTACACATCCTAACACGCACTCTCTACACATCTTACCCACGCCACTCTCTACACATCTATACCAAACGCAACTCTCTACCACATCTAACCACGCACTCTCTACCACACTAACCACGCACTCCCTACACATCTAAACAACGCACTCTACTACACATCTCACCACGCCACTCTCTACACATCTAACACGCACTCTCTACAAGTCTACCATGCACGTCTGTACGACATTCTAACCACGCACTCTCTAACATCTAACCATGCACTCTTCTACACATCTTTAACACGCACTCTCTACACAATTCTAACCATGCACTCTCATACACATCTAACACGCACTCTTACACATCTAACCACGCACTCTCTACACATCTAAACCACGCACTCTCCTACACATCTAACCACACACTCTCTACACATCTAACCAACGCACTCTCTTTACAATGCTAACCACGCACTCATCTACACATCTAACATGCCACTCTCACCACAATCTAAACCACGCACTCTACTACACATCTAACCACGCACTCTTACACGGCTCTAACCACGGCATTCTCTCACACACTAACACGCACTCTCTACACGCACTCTCTACACATTACCACGCACTCTCTACACTCTTACCACGCACTCATCTTACACATCTAACACGCACTCTCTACACATCTAACATGCACTCTCTACACTATCTAACACGCACTCTCTACACATCTACCACGCCACTCTCTTTACACATCTAACACGCACTCTCTAACACATCCTTAAACCAATGCCTACTCTCTACTCACATCTAACACGCACTCTCTACACAGTCTAACAACGCACTCTCTACACATCTCACCACGCACTCTCATACACATCTAACACGGCACTCTCTTACAAGGTCTACCATGCACTCTTGTACACATCTAACACGCAACTCTCTACACATCTAACCATGCACCTCTCTTACACATCTAACCACGCACTCTTCTACACATCTAACCACGCACTCTCTACACGTCTAACCATGCACTCTCGTACACATCTAACCATGCACTCTCTACAACATCTAACCATGCACTTCTCTACACATCTAACCCACGCATCTCTACACATCTTACCATGCACTCTCTACAACAATCTAAACACGCACTTCTTACACATCTAACCACGCACTCTTTACACATCTTAACCACGCCTCTCTACACATTAACCACGCACTTCTATACATCTAACCATGCACTCTTCTTACCACGCCACTCTCTATACCATCTACACATGTCACTCTCTACCACGCGCACTCTCTACAAAGTCTAACCACGCACTCTTACACATCTAACCATGCACTTCTCTACACATCTACCATGCACTCTCTTTTACACGCACTCTCTAACAAGTCTAAATCCACGCATCTCTACACATCTAACCATGCACTCTCTACACATCTAAACCATGCCTCTCTTACAACATCTAACCATGCACTCTCTACACAATCTTAACCATGCACTCTCTACACATCTAACCACGCACTCTCTACACATCTAACCACGCACTCTTACACGTCTAACCACGCACTCTCATACACATCTAACCACGCACTCTCTACACATTAACAGCCGTACTCTCTTTACACAAATCTAACCACGCACTCTCTACACATCTAACACGCACTCTCTACACATCTAAAACCATGCACTCTCTTTTACACATCTAACCATTGCACTCTCTACCACGCACTCTCTACACATCTACCCACGCACTCTCTGAGCATGATGACGTCGGCCAACACCCCGAACATCTGGTAGAGGTCGGACGCCTCGTTCACTCTGCGCAGTATCGCGGCGACGATCTCAGTCGCGCGCAGCGAGTAGGCGGGCCATGCGTCGCCGTGGTTACGTCTCTCGAGTATCTTGTGTAGCGTTCTCGCTGCGGGGAGAAAACGGGGAGAAAACGGCTCGTGGGATTACGGCGCGAAATTTGGACGATGCGGCGAAGGAGCGATTCGGAGTATCAAGCGAGTATTTCGAAGAAAAGCGTAAAATTACATTATACTATATTAATAATAGTAATTCCTATTAAGTCACAACTCTCAAGTCGCACCGGCATCGATCTTCACCGAGGCCAACCCTCGGGTCAACACGACGAGGCTAACCGAATATTCGCTCGTCGCAAACGTGCGACGACATGCCTAATCACACGCGACAAAATCACGTCATTAATGAACGAATTAATTACGAATTAATGGACGAATGGCGCGAGACTTGCGTGACGCTGCTGACAGCATGCGCAGCGCCACCTACCGGTGTATCTAAATCCGTGGATGAACCCCCCGGCGGATCGGCGGAAGTCGAGGGAGTGGGTGTTCGCTCCGACGAAGAACAATCCCGGAACGGTCGTCGCCTCGTAGTTGTCGCCGATCGCCGGGTACTTGGCGCGTGCCCCCGACCCCCGCTGCACGCCAAGCGAGCTGCCGAGAACAAGCGAACAGCAGAAGATTACGATTCCCCCCGGCATCGTCGCGACTCATCACAAATTTTACTCGATTAAATGCGCGCGGAGGGGAGCGTTTGGGGTAGCATGATGCCGCGCGCTCGACATCGAGGAAAATTAGTTCTTTGTACTTACACTTCTTCTGTTCTTCTTCTTCTACTTAACCAAGTTTTAAGGCTTAATGCCAATACTGTAATGTAATGTTGGCGTAATGTTGGTGTAATGTTTGCTGTGTAATGTTGGCGTGATGCCAATGTACTTGGCGTAATGCCAATACGCGTGTGAGGAAAGATGGCTCACCCGTTGAAGAGCGAGAAGTCGTATTTGAAGCCCAGGCAGTTGATGACTCTGTCGTACGGCTCTCTCAGTGCGTAGTTATCCGTCGTGACGTCGTTGCCATGCTTGTCGGCTATGACGACCCTTAGTCTGTCGCCGTCTCTCGTCACTGCCAGCTCCTCCACGTTGACACCATCGGCAATGCCATCTAGCGACTTGAGTTGGTACGTATCGAGGAGATTATTGTTCACGGCCCTGGGAAGGGAACGGATGGATTATAATTAGCATTGATTACGTTCGTAATTAAGCGACACAGGCAATATTATCAGGATATTATTTTAATAATCACTAAATGTCTTTAGGTTCTAGTCAAGGACTTACAATATAACATTCAAATGATTTTGCTAGCATAACTGTTAACAACAACATATGGCATCACCCTCCATCTCCACACCCACCTCCTCATCCACCTCGCCCACCTCTGCACCCACCTCACCCTCCCTCTCCCTTCACCAACTCCACCTCCCCTCCCCTCCTCCTCCCCCTCCTCACTCCAATCCCTCACCCTCCCCACTTTGCCTCCCCTCCCCACCCACCTTTTCTTCCACCTCCCCTCCCCTCCCCTCCCTTCTCATCCCCATCCTTCACCCTCCCACCTTTTCATCCCCTCCCCCACCCACCTACTTCTTCCCCCTCCCTCACCCACCGAGGTATCCGACGTATGTGCGTGGCCCACGGCGAGGCGGATACATACCAAGAATATGCAGCGATAGCGCGATATGTGACAAGTGGTGGCGCCCCGATTGCTGTCGGCGACTCGAACGCGGAGTTTCCGTTCCGACACACGCGGAGCACGCTCTGTCCCTCGTAGTCAGAGGGGTCGACGGACATCTCGTCGTTAGTGTTCGATCAGCGTGGAGCCGCGCGAACTCTTGGCCGCTGGCACTGGAGACGCCGTTACCGATCGCATCAGGTGCTACAAGAGGAGACACGAGAATGAGAGCAGAGATGTGAGAGAGAGAGAGAGATGAGCAGGGAGAGGAAGAGAGAGAGAGGAGAGAGAGGAGGGGAGAGAGAGAACAGAGAGAGAAGAGGAGAGAGGAGAGGAGAGAAGAGAAGAGAGAGATGGGAGAGAGCGAGAGAGGGAGAGAGGAAGAGATGAGAGACGGAGAGGAGATGCACGAGAGAGGAAGGAGGAGAGGGAGAGGAGTACAGAGAGAGAAGAGATGAGAGAGGAGGAGATGGAGAACGAGAGAAGAGAAAGAGGAGAGAGGGAGGACGAGAGAGAGAGAGAGAGACGACGAGAGAGAGAGAGAGACCGGACGAGAGAGAGAAGGAGAAGAGAGAGAGAGAGAGAGAGGGGAGACTGAGAGAGGAGGGAGAGAGGAGAGAGAGAATTGGAGAGAGAGGAGAGAGAGAGGAGAGAGAGAGAGAGAGAGGAGGAATGAAGGATGCAGGAGAGACAGGCGAGGACGAGGAGAGAAGAGATAGATGAGAGAATAGAGAGAGAGAAAGAGGAGAGAGAGAGAGAGCAGAGGAGATAAGAGCAGAGAGAAGAAGAAGAGAGAGCGAGAGAGGAGAGTGAGACGCAGAGAAGTGCAGAGAGAGGACAGAGAGAGAGAGACGAGACGGAGAGAGAGAGACGATGAGGAGGAGAGTAGCAGAAAAAACGAGTGTAAGCGAGCAAGAGATGGAAGAGAGACGACGAGGAGAGAGAGAGATAGAGAGAAGACAGAGAGGAGAGGAGAAGAGAAGAGAGCGAGAGAGAGATGAGAGAGAGAGAGTAGAACGCAGACAGATGACGGAGAGAGAGGAGATGAGAGAAGAGATAGAGGACAAGGTGAAGGTTGGGGGGGGGATTCGGGGGACGAGAGCCACTCGCCACTACCCCGTGTGGTACCTACGGGGATGTGGGATTGCATTCACTACCCCGTTTTTATGTAGTAGAGGCCATGGATGCATATCTATGCCGGATTGTAGATGCTGGACTACATTAAGTCTTCATAGGATCAAGGAAACCAACCAATCGATGCACTAAGCTACAAAATAGTAATGACATAACAAAGGAAACCCTTGCTACTTTCGCGAATCTCTGATCAAAACTGTGAAGCAGTCTATTTGCATGCCTGAATCGTTTACTGCATGTGTAAAAGATGTTAGCACAATTAACGCCAATTTATAAAGAGAAACAAGTTATTCGTTCATACTCTTGATTACGTAGTAGTACATACCCACAGACGTATTTCTCTGCCATGTTGATCATTCATTTTAAAAGCGAAGCCAGAATCCGATGAAACATTTTCGCCTTGTGAATATCTTGGACAGCTGTATTAAACTGAACCTAAAAGCGAACATGCATTGATAATTACCCCCAAAAATCTTTACGAAAAAAGGTAGCTTCCCTCAATACTGTACCACGGTAATTTTTGTAACAAACCACTGTAAAACGTAAGATAAATTACTCACTAAACTTTAACTGAACGTTAGCTTTGAAATAATAAGTCAAAAATAATGTATCAAGCCTATATTGCTTCATCGAAAGTTAGGTGTATTGGAAACTTCCGACGAATCTACGAATCTTCCGATGAGGCGACCACCAGGCAGCATGCAGACTAACGAAAGACTCATTAATCTTCTTAATCGTCCCAAAATCATTCGGAAACGAGTTAAGGACCATCTCACAAGTAAATAAGAAGTCAATAAATGAAAGAGCAATTTAGACTCAGCCCGTAAGCATATATAAATATTAATGTATTACTTCAGCCGTAAAGATTATTACGGGTTAACGCGAGCATACCTTTATACCCGAGCTTGGCGGCGTAGGTCTCGGAGTAGTCGACGTAGGTGTCGGCGGACGGGAAGAAGTCGTGCGTGTAACGTCGTGCACGCGCAGAGAGTCGTCGTCCTGAGCAGAGAGTTCCAAGTCGTGCCGCAGGTTGAACTCGCGCGTTCGTCTTCCCCGTGTGTCGCTTGTTGATGCTGCATCAGCTTTGCGGTGACGCGCGGTACTTCGCGAAGAACGAACCTGCCGCGGGAGAGGCGGATTCGTGACGTGGAGACGGGTTCCGGAAACGCGATCGGAACAGGTGAGGACAGGTTCCGGAAACGCGATCGGAGCGCGTGCCACGACACGGAGAGGGTTCCAGAAACGCGATCAGATCGCATTCCGTGGACGTACAGATGGGTTCCGAAAATGCGATCGGAACAATGCGGAGATGGGTTCCGTAAAAAAAACGAGATCAACATCGCGTTCTGTGACGCGAACACGGGGTTCTGGAAACGTGTTAGGAATGTGTTTCGTGACGTTCATGGTGTTGTATTCGATCCGATCGATAAGAAAATACCGTTTCTTTTCGGCTGTGTTCAAACCAGCGAGCGCAGTAAAGTAATGTTTATTAAATACTGAGAGTAAAGTTCGGCGCGAGATTTCGACGCAAACCTTACCTACTTCGCTCTCCCGTTCGTAAACTACATAAAATCTCTTTGGCTTTCCCGAGAAAGAAAGCCATCTGCAGTCCAGCGGGGCCGGCGCGACAACGCAGTAGTCGTGGTACACATCAGCGTCACTACTCTCTTCTTCAGCATGACTGCACGTGGGATGGGAAAACAGTGCCAGCAGCGTGACACACCAAATGGAAAATCGTGCCATATTCTGACGTACTGTAACTAGAGAAAAAAAGGCATTGGTAATCTCCAACACAACATAGCCATGGGCATTAGACGCTTATATAGAGCTCTAGGGTAAGACATGGTTAAAGCTTGAGTCTGGATAGACTTTGAAATGCTGCCCATAAAGACAAACTATCGTAATGATACTCATGCAACTACGTCAGTAATGTGATGACCACATGAGGCCATAGGAAATTATGTATCAGTTTAACGTCAACCAAAAATTTGAAAGTGATGAGGCTTTTTTTCATTATTCATTATTCATTATATTTCCGTGGCAAATTCTAACACGGTTGGAAAGTACACCCTGATCAACCTATATTATTGTACAAAAACAACACTATTCAGCAGCTGTTCTGTTCTACACAACTAACATCAAGGTCGAATTTTCAGCGATATTTACAACAATGTAATGTATGTGAATGAAAGAACATACGAGAAGAATTAAAAATACATAAAATAGATTACATTTTTAGCGCAGCCTACTTTGCCGGACCATGACGCGCGCGGTTGTACGGTAACTGTTACCTCAGTTCCTATGGCTTAATGCTCAGGCACTTGGAGATACATTCAATAAAAATATAATGCGTACAATAATACGAATCTATTATATTTCTAAAAATAAACTATCGAATAAAATCTACTCTCCCTACTCTTCTCTTACTACGTTCTCTTTCACCTATATTGCCGAGCAATTTCCTGTATAATGGCCGGTCCCAAATGCTCATCTGCAGACACCCGCTGGCGCTGCCGCACCGCTAGCTGCTGGCACACGTGACACGTACCATAAATATATAGTGTATAATACTACATATATATTTATGTCACAAATTATGTGTATATTTATGTAGTTATCATATTTAGTGTCAATGGTGCCAGGCACGCTAGCGTGCGGCAGCCAGCGTGGTGTTGGCAGATGAAGGCATTTGGACCACCATTTACGCAGGAAATTGTCGTCAAGAATACTACGCAGTGCTAGCATCCGAGGAACTTGGTCGCATACCTCCAGGCTACGCATAGGCACATGCCACTCACGACAGTGATCGCGTGGACTCGCGTACACGCAAAATGCCGAAAATATGCACTGCTGGCGCTATATCCTTTCATCCGTCCTCTCTCGCTCTCCTCTCTCTCAATCTCTCACCACACGACGCACAGGCTCTCTCTCTCTCTCTCTCTCTCTCACACACACACGCACAAGCTCTTTCTCAGCACACACACGCACAGGCCTCTCTTATTTCTCACACCACGCAGCACACACACCACACACACACACAGACACACACACACACACTCTTAGCTCTCGTCTCTCTCTCTCACGCATACACACCAGCACATACACACTTCCCATCTCTCTCTCTCTCTCAAACACACTCACGACATCACGACTCGGCAATTCGAGCAGAGCGTCTCGGTTGCGCAATCATGTGTGTGGCGTGTCCGCTAAGATCACTGTGTGAGAATGGATGTCCGACGCGTAGCCTAGCGCTCCCCGTCGCGAAACCGGCGATCGCGTAGGCCAACGGCCATAATAATAATACAGTAAACTAGGAGGGCCTAATAGCCTGAATTACACCCATTGACAGTTCTGGCCGCGCTATGTTCTGCGCCATTAGTTACGCCATCTCGCCGGCAGAGCCCAGCGATGTGCGAAAGTAAACTCGCACCATATTGTTTACTCGATGCCTTATCTTGCCTTGCATCGCAGGTCGCTCACCTTTGTGTCGGAAAAAACAGTGCACGTAGCAGGGAATAGAGCACCCGATAATGGATGACGCTGACGTGACATGACACTGTGATACATTTAAATTATGGTCAATGCTAGCTGTTAGTACCTATAGCCGCTTACATTAACTGCCGCTGGGCATATAGACCGACCATGCGGCATGCAATGGACCAACGTAACTCAGCCATGTCAGCGGGAGCTAATGTATTTCCGCAGATGTAGCCAGGGGTGGGCCGGGTTGTCTGTTTGGTTGTGGACCCAAAAAAAAATTGTTGTTGGTCAAGTTAACACAAATTTAACAATAGTAATTTGTTTATCTTTCTATGGACAAAGAACAATATAAATCTCGTTTGATCGCTTATTTGATTACTTGACAACAACACATGTTTTTGTCCAAAAAAAAAAAAAAAAAAAAAAACCCTCCCCAACCCGCCCACGCCCCCACATGGGGAATACATAGTTCCCGCTGACTGGGCGCTGCTGCAGCGCCGCAAAA